ACATCGATGCTTAACCTTCGCTCGTCATATGACGGATCATGCATCACATGAAGAACGAAAGCCAAACACTGATGCATAGAGGCCCCAGGATGACATTTTGACCGAAGCAAAGCAATCTTACTTTGATTTCTAGTGAAGCAAATTTGTTAATTACTCACACTCGCCTTTTTAACCCATATCAAAAATATTACAATATATAAAGTAACAAAGAAGGAAGATTTTTACTTATTTATATAATAAAAATAATATTTTCTGAATAGGAAGACAAAATACCAAATTATATTAATTCATATTCACAAAGTATTACTTATAAAATTAACGAGTAGCACGCTTTGTTGAGTTAAATATTCTATTTTATTCACTTATTTTGTTTAAATATTTCACGTATCATTTCCTATATCAGATATTTAATTTGATAATTTGGACATTACATAATGCTTCTTACGAATTAAAAAAATATTTTTTTCGCTGTCAAACAATATTCTAAAAAAATATGGCTACAAATTGATATGAGAGCGATTCTACTAGTTGTTTCACTATTTCAAAATATTGTATTGTAAATATTAAAGAAAGATTTATTTTGTCTAAGAAAGTATGCAAATTTTGCAGTTTAAATAATTTTCTAGAGAGTTACAGAAGCAATACTGAGTTACTTTTAATGAAATCAGATATAGGTGTTATAGTCATTCCTTACAGCTCATCTACACTTTAATTCTGAATCATAAATAATTCAACTCCCCTCTGCTTGCTTTCCGAAGGATATGTTAATTCGCAATGCTGAGAGTTTTTTTCCGATAAAGAAGGCCTATCGAGAGTAAGAATAGTCCATGATAAATTTTAAAATCAGCATACGGCACCCTGGGTTAATTTTTGCTGACATTTTTGGTCATTATAAAGTTAAGTGTCACTTTACGACATGAAAGCTCGGTTTTGCTCTTGGAGCCCGTCTATCAAATCAGAAATATGTTCGCAGTTTGTCTATCAAAATTGAAGTAGTCGTTTGACGATGCAACTTGATTCGGTCCTTTATTATTTTAAGCATTTCGTTTGTTGTTAATTTCTAGATTATGCGTACTTTACACCCTAATGACAATGCTGATGCTATTTGGGTTCTTCTTCCTCTCGTTTTACTAAGTGTCCGAACATGGGCACGTAACAGAGCGTCCGTTCTGGATACTCGGAACAACTAGGAAGCGACGTAAAACAGTCAAAAAAGGAGTAAACGTAATTGCATATGCCTATTACCGTCTGATACCCTATTTAAAATGGCAAAATATATTCAATACACAATAAATCCTGAAAGATAAAATGAATTTCTAAATTGCTTTTTGAGCATTTCAACACAAAATGAAGAAAAAAAATTCAAATCGAGTTAAGCCACTTCATTCTTTTCAAAAAGCTTCAGTTGATTCAAATCCAGCAAGTCTAAAAGAAAGGTAATTCATTCACACAAGATGAAAATATGCCTATAAGCATTCGCAAGTTGTACTTCCATAACTGCTTTATGCTCGATAAAGACACTCTTTTGAAGATATCATGTGAAATAAGATCAGTTTTTTAAGGGAATCAGGGAGTTATTCTGAGATTCTTCGTATTTGAAAAAAAGGAATGTTTTGGCCAATACTTCAGTAGCTCGAATAAGAAATGGATGCATAAAAACGAGGACAATAGTTAAAATGTACTTTTGTGAAATAAAAAGCCCTTTAAATACAAGAAATAGGTGAAATCAATGAAGAAAGTTAAAGTAGGCGATAAAATGAGTCGAAATAATTTTAAAATTCTGTCGAGTAAATCATTCTTGGGTCAAAGTCGAGTCCTTTGTATTGATTCACCGGAGGATCGCAAAAGTTCACTTTTGGCTTTGTCTGGAAACCAAATATGGGATCCTCTCTGGGCTCCAAAGAAGATGTCTCCGGGCCCAGCTCTCCGGTACTTCCTCTTCTGCGGGTACAATACACAGCTCTATCCTCAAGCGTACACTCGCTATCCTGACGCTGTTCCAACCGACCTGAAGACGTCGGCAAGTTGTCCAGAGAATAGGACCGATTTGAGTTTGTCCGTTTCACCGATTTTGGGCCAACTCCCTGAGCGAAGTTGACATGTTCGGCTGTCGTGAGGTCCGGAATGCTAGTGCGTCCGCTATGCAGTGCCTTACAGAGCGAAATAAGGGGGGCCTTGGGGCGTGAATCGTTGGAGAGGAAGGTGATAAGCTTCAGGTTTGAGAGGATACCTTTTATTCCAGAGCCCGAGTTCTGAGTAGAGCTTTTCATAAAAATACAAAAAATTATTTCGTAAAACCAGCAAGTTTTATATTAAAGTGGGCATAGATCGAAGAATTGCAATCCCTATTAAGGACTGCATTTTATGAGGAGACCGAGAGACTCAACTGCATAAAGTATTTTTACTAATTTATCAATACTTTG